AAAGGTCCCTTCCAACCCAAAGCATTCTATGATTCTGTTGTGAATGAGCAGAGAGCAGTGTTAGCTGGCTGTGTTGCAAACTGCAGAGCATCGCTGTAATCCCAGCCCGAGGTTCTGGCTGTGGTTGTCCCCAGCGGCTCAGGCCGCAGCTGGGAGAGGGCTGGTGTTGGGAGCACAGTGGTGCTGTCACCGCACGGCATTTAAACTGTGTTTCCCTGGTAGCTGATATTCGTGCTTCAGGTTGCCAGGGTAGTTCAAATGCCAACGTGTTCCTCACGTTTCTTTCTCCTTCTCCTTAACTTCCACCACAACCTCCAGCCCTAATGGTGTTCAGTTTTGGGAAAGAAAGTTTGCTTTGCTTTCTGCAAATCACCCAGCACACATCCTGGGAGCTGCAGAGAAAGAAAGAACTAATAAAAGTTCTTGTTATACCCACAGGTTCTACTCCTTTGAATGTAAGCGCTATACCCTTGAATCGTTCATTGCAGGACATCTGCATGCTTCCAGAAGATGTGGAGAAGGTGAGGACAACAAAGACTATTGTCATAGTGTTTTTCCATTTTACAGTGTTTTTTCCATTTTACAGTAGCAAAAGCAAATGACAGGAGGCATTTCTCAAGAACAGAACTTTCTGATAGACGGACTAATCTTTACAAATACTGTATTTTCCCTCCTCTTCCCCTCTGTGGGTAAACCTACAAACTAAAAATGGCTATTTCTTCACTTATTTTTACTCTTAATCCATTAATTAAATATTTTAATTATTTTAAAATAATGGAAATATTTTAGAACACTATGCATTTCCACTTTTCATTCCATCATTTTCCCACACATTCCTTGAGACCAAACTTTAAGATTATTATAGTCTCTTTAAAGTTATGTTAGAATATGTTATGTAGAATTTGTTGCAGCTACGTGCATATGGATGGGGTTTACCTCATGCTTTTACTATCAGGAGATAGGGAGAGGTTGGAGGTTTTTTTGTGTGTGCTTATGAGCATGTGAGATTGCTGTAAAAGAATTACAATATGAATGACAAGCACAGTAACAGTAACATCTGCAGTAATTTAAGCAGTTTCTCGTAGTTTCTAATTTGCATAAGGGGCCCAAACAGTCTTAGGTGTGTTGTCAGAGAGGCAGCCCATTGGAGCTTATAAACAGAGATAAAGATGAGAAGGTAATGCTGTCACTCATAACTCTGTGTGCTAAATGTTAATCTCTTCTAACAACTGGAAAAGAGGGGTTAATGTTGTAATTAGTTATTGCAGTGAGTAGGATTTAATACAAAAGAGCTTTAAAAATGTGCCTAGAAAATGAGATTTTTTTTTTTTTTTTTTTTTTCCCTGTATTGTGGATGCGCATGTGGTCCCATGTCCTGGGCCCAAGAGGTAATCGTCTTTGTGCACAGCACTGATTTTACTGGAGTGGCAAGTTCTGCATTTGGTTTGAAGCTCTCAGTGTCCCAAAGGTGGATTTTGGAAAAAAAAAACCCAAAACCAAAACCAAACAAAAAACACAAAGGGAAAAAAACCCACAAAAAACCACCTAATAAATCACACACCAAAACCCAACAAACTTGTGAACTAGCTTTTCATGTTGCTTTTTGTGAAAGGTGTTTCAGAAAGAAGATGATGTTTCTCCATCTGTAATGTGGGAGCCAACACCAAAATAATTTGCTTTTGGTCATCAGGAGACCAGTGAGTAGGTATCTGGTTTAGAAACCATGGTCTGAGAACTATTGAGTGAGGCAAGATCGTATCAGCTACTTTTCCTGTGCAGATGATTGGCGGCTGATCTGACTACAGGTTAAAAGATATCAGGGGCTCAGTCCATTATGACTGAGGCTGCCTTTAAAAAAACCCAAAACTAAACCTAAACCAAAACCCAGCATATTTAGGTTGTGAAATAATCTCTTTGAAATTTAGGAGACTGAAAACTAAGGTACTTGTAGTGTCAGCAAGTCTTGGGAGTTGTAGTTGTGTGCCAGGAAGGAGATGGGCCAGATGATCTAGAGGGACTTTCCACTGATGTGAGTGGGAGGGAAGAGAAATGAGAAGGTTGGTGTGTCACAGCTGAGTTGGGACGCCTTCCTAGGGTGACAGGCCTAGCAGGAGGCAGAGCTGAAAGCTGACAGAGTCATGCTGAGTACAGGAATGCCTGTATCCTGTTCCATCTTTTTGCAACTCTCAGATACGCTCATAATTGTTTTTATCAGCAGGACATGCTGATGTGCTGTGTTCTGCCACTAACTTGGGGTTAACCATTGCCACACGGGCTTTTTGAATCTTCAGAGTAGGTATCTCCCAAAAGCAAAAACACTGTTTAAGTCTTTTCTTTGCTGATGGTGCGTCCTGAAGTTCACTGAAAGTTGTCTCTGGAGAAACTGTGCACCAAGTAAGTGCTGCTAATCAGTGTTAGGAAGAAGATAAAAGTCTATTCAAACACCCACAGGGACTTGTGGGCTCTTTCTAATGTTGAGATTAATCTCTTTTAAATGAGTTTGGCTGTGGACAATAAGAAAGCAGTGATGTCTGTTGTACTCCTTAAGACTTAGCTATTTCTAAACACTGATGTCTGTCTTCATGCTTCCTGTACAGGTTTTAGGGGATGTCACAAATACTAATGTGAGTGGTACAATTTTCTGAGCATAAGCCACTTTTCTAAAAAGCTTTAATTATTCTGCACTCAGAATCTGTGGCCTTAGGTACTGCCATGGTAGCTTAGAGGTTTGGCTTTGCACAGTGCAAACACGTGCAGTTGAGGGGAGATGGGGAGAGTATCCTGGGCATCTCTGAGTGTCCACCCACATATCTGAGAGCACCTAAGCCTTCATGATGAATCCACTTTTGAGCTGAGCCTGAGCTAGGAGGCTGTGCCCAGGCCAGCAGCAGTAGCAACGCAGGTGGGGCTGGTGGGATGCTCCGTTAGACCACAGGAAGCGGGGGATATGGCAGTGACATTGGGGCAGGGAGTCCCAGGTTTGTCTGGATGTCTCAGTGGTGCCAGAGTTGGCTTTACAAATTCCCTTTTTCCAGAGCGTGGGTGACCCAGAGAGGCTAGATGGTAAGGGATGCCAGGGGGAGGGGTTGACTGGTGGGGAAATGCCACAGTGAAGCTTTGAAATGACTGCCTTTTATTTAAGGCAGTGTGAACACCAGGGAAGATGGGTTCCCGCTTACCCGTATCACAGACTTTCTATGTAGCCTTGAGTTGACCATGTAAGCTGTCTCACTGCATATCCCCTACTTCACTGCCTTAACTTTTAACATATGAAAGCATTTACTAGCTTCTGTACTACCCACCTCCTGAAGATCTACAGTCCCTTCAAGACCTGCCTCTTCTGGCCCCATCCAAGTTAGCATGCATGCAAAACTGCTTGTACACACTGACTTGAAATTAAATCCTATTAAATAGGTTAGATGGATTCACACTTGCATACTAAATGCAGTGTAGCCGGAAGACTACATCCCTAAAATGCATACATATTCATCAATTAGGCATGTAATCGAGTTTGGTTTTATCTAATAGATGGGTAAGATAAAAGTAAATTGTATGTTTTAATCAAGGGTGAGACAATTATCTGGGCAGTTGCCTTTTGCATGTTGTCTCTGAGTTGCCCTTGGGGTGGTTTTTTTGATGTTTAAATGAAAGGTGAGATAGCCTTACATTTTCATTTCTTGAGTTGGAAAAGTGTGGGGAAAAATTATATATTTCACTTCATCTTAAGTAAATATCAAATATGCTGTGTACTAATGAGTGTTCCAATTTTGCGTGCAGGAAAATGCACACTTTTTTGTTGCAGATATGATTATAGCATCACTAGAAAAAATGAAATGTAATATCCTCAGCCAACAAGCAGAGTCCTGGGGTGTGGAGGAAACAAGTGGATCAGATAGCAGCTATCATACTGATCTGGAGTTGTCTTCTTACCCCGGAGTGAAGAAGTCTGATTCTTCTGTTGCCTCTTCAGACAGTGGTTATGAAGGCAAGTAACTTAGTCTACAAAGCAACCTTGTCTGACAGCCTTTGCCATTTACTTTTGTGCAAGAATATACTAAATTAATTTGGGCATTGCTTGGAACCAAATCATCTGGTACCTTCTTTGAGTCTCTCAACGGAGCTGTGTTCCCTGAGGATCATTATGCCACAAGTGTTCTTCCTGTGGGTCAAATTCTTCCTTTTGAATGCTCACATCTTTGTTTTATTATTTTTTTTTTTCTCTTTTACACGAAAAAGAAAATGTAAGGTTGAAGTGCCACATGCCAAGCACAACTCTCCAGAGAACATGCCTGTAGTTCATTGGTTTTCTCTCTGCTTAAATCCTTTTTTGCAGAATTTGAAGCCTGGCTCTTTCCTTCTGTGCTTCTGCAGTATGCAGATCAGGCCACACAATTGATTTGAGTGAAACTGCCCAGAGTATTAATTCACATACAGTTTTGAGGCAAGATAATAAATGCTTCTGGCACTATAATGCTTGAGTCAGCACATGCATTTCTAAGTAGATTTTAGTCTCTGGAGAAATATGGATCTTAGGGACAGAACTTAAGTCTGAAGTCTAAATGATATAACTCGTGGGGAACAATGAATGGTGTGTTTGCATGGGAGAAGGGGGGAGACCACTGATAATATAAACCCTTTTGTTTTAGTCTCTAGAAGCTTCTTCCTCAGAAACTGAGGGACATGCTGTATGACAGACTCCCAAGAATTGGCTTTCTCTGAGTGTGTATAAAAATAAATAAATAAAATTTCTCTGTAAATACAGGCTGTGTGCTAAAGTTTTGGTAAGCAAAGCAAAATATAAATACAATTGCAGCTACTCTATAAATGCTGGAAAAGTTTAAGTGGTGTTGTCTTTGTTCCGGACAGGCTGTGCTCTGCTGCCTGTCAGCTCCCCAGTGCATCTACCATCACATCATGAGGTTACCAGATTTCCTTGCCACAGTGACTCAGAGGATGAGTATATAATTATTGGTAAGACTTTAAAATTATAACTGCAGAAACAGCTCTATTGTTCAGCTGAATATATTGCATTGTTTGGAAAATCTATTGGCTTAGTAGATTTTATCGCAGGAGAAGTAACATGAGAAAATGGAAAAAGCAGTGTATGCATGACCCTTTATTAGAAAACACATGCAGAAATACCAGAGTGGTGCAGGATTTTCTTTCTACAAAATAACACATTTGCTGGTTTGAGGGATTGAAATTATGCCTAAGGATTAAACCCAGTGAATGTGGGTGAGCAAAGTGTGAAACTGGCACAGCCTCAGCCAACTATAGCAGCATTGTTTGAGGGAATTTAGCACATGATCATTTCCTGATTGAAGAGGTTGATTAGGTTTTAGGCAGCCCTCCCTCTGTTTCAGGACTAGAGCAGACTGTCCCCATGTAGACACCAGTGCTCTGCTTCTCTTCAGGACATCCTGAGGGGTTTTTTTTGTTACCTTCTGGTTTTTACATACACAGAAATAGAAACCCTTAAAAGTAGCCTGAGCAACATCTAACCTCGGTCTCATTTTTTCCTGTCAACAAGTGCTTTTTTTTTATTTGCTCCCTTTAGTTTTAGCGATTCGCTTACTTTTTCACCTCCTCTTTCGCTGCTCTAAGAATGAAGAACTAGCTCCCAAAACTGCATTTCTCATAGCAAGATTTATTTTGACGTGTGTGAATGGGGAAGCATTTGTCTTCACAACAATATGTGTGGCCAAAACTAATGCTACCAACGTGAACACCTTGTCTGCATAAGCTATATTTTGTCTATATAAATGTAATGAAGTGTGTGTGTGTGCGCTTTAAATCCATTCATCTCACCTGTTACTTGTTTATAGCATTAGCTGGCATGTTTGTGATCAGTGTCTCCAAATACCTGTCAGCGTCCGAAAAAATTTATGTGCGCTTTATTGGTTCTGTATAGCATGATTTATGTCTAATGCCTTCTGGCTGGACCTGGCCTAGCAGGCACTTAGTCTCTCCTTACTGATTCTCCTGCTCTTGAAGGGAGGCTGATGGTGATGATACAGTGTGTAGCTGTTAGGGAGTACTCTTCATCAGCAGATGTCTGAGATCTGCAGAGGAGATAAGACTTCTTATGCCTGTTTTACAACCAGGGCTGAGGTTATTTTCCACGTCCTGCAAGGGTGTTGTAGAGATGAATGTCTTTGAAACTGACACCGTGCTAACTCAGAAGGTAGATTTAAAACAGTGCTGAGTAACAGAAGCTTTGTTTCTTAAATGGCTTGATAAAATTTTCTCCTTTACCGCAGAACTTGAAGACCTTGAAAATCTGTCTGTCGTCCCAGATGAAAGGTAAAGCTGTGTATCTTTACTATAATAGCCCAGTGGCACTACGTTTTCTGCTGACCAGCTTTCTGGTGACTCTTCTGGCCAGGGCAGGGAAAGGTGTGGGAGTGGTAAATTCGGTCCTCCCAAAGAAGGGAAAGGAATGCTGCTTGACAGCAAATGTCTGTGGCACTTGGCTTAGCAGAGTGTTTCTCTGGTCCTGGAGTCTTGCTGGAGGGTGATGGCTGTGGCTCTGCAAGGGCCTGGGTGTATCAAAGCAAGGGGATAGGAATGAAGGGATGGGAGAAAACTTTTCAGGGATGCAGAAGAGGCAGCGGAGCTGCTGATGACATGCTCCTATTTTTCACTGTCTGTATTGCTTAACTTTCAGATCGTCTTTTGAACCAGGCAGCAATTCTGCTGAAGCAACAGCCCAGGAGTTGTGCAGAGCTTTCAGAAAACACTGGTTGCAGACAGACTCTGCAGTTCAACTGTCTGGTTGCCTGAGCTCATCTAAGCAGAGAGTGAGTCTGAGCCGAAAACAGTGGGCTCTTTATTCTGTTCCCCAAATAATCATTGTCTCACTGCAGCTGCTTCATTGTTAGGGAAAGGGGAAAGCTGCATTTGAAAAAAAATAAATAAATACAGATGAGTATTTATAGTTCATTAGTTCACTTTAGATAAATTTTCAGAAAATTTCTTCTCCAGCAATTTTCAGCACATTTAAGACGTGCAGTTGTGAACAATCAGGATGTAGTTTCTTCTGGGACTGATAGGAGGGCGTTTAACTGGGGGGGGACTACATGCAGGTGAAAACTGAACTTTAAAATCCTTGCGTATAAATGGAGGTGTTTCATAGCATTTAACATATGTTACCTGATGGGCTGTTCATCTTCGTGAGTTTTGTCTTTCCCAATAGTCTGTGCTGAAAGAAGAGATTCCAAGAGAGCTTGAGTCCAGTTTGAATCTAGCTGAAGAAATAAAGATCATGTCCAAATTAAGAGGATCTTCTGGCTGGGCCCCACCAAGATCGCAGATTATATTTAATATTCACCCTTCAGTCAAGTAAGTCTAAGGGATCTGAGCACTGTTGTTTAATACAGCATGGGGATTTGTCTAAAGCCTGCTGCGGTTGATGGAAGAAGCCAGGGTGATTTAACAGAACCTAAGGCTAGAGCTAGTGCGTGGCGCAGCCTTCTGTAGTGTCTGTCAGCAGCTTCACTAGAAAGCAGATGGCATCTTTTTCCCTCTGTTGGCGTGCCCCGATTAACGTGGCACGTGCACTTTTACGTGTGATAATACACATACTGTTTGGTGTTACTGTGGCAGCGTGCTTAGCTGGACTCCTAAAAATTTCATTTTGTGAGACTACCTGGAGAGTATTTTTAAGAGTTTCCCCACTTCCCTGCTGGTATTGTATGGATAGTAGGTTTTCAGAAAGGGGGTAGAAAATGGGTTGTGTTTGAGGAAACTACTGTCTCTGCATAAAGTGCTGTTAAATGCACACAGTAGGCAAACTGGCTAATTCCCTGTGTTGTTGCAGGTTCAGTTGCTTTTTCAGTTGCAGGTGTAGATTTCCCCCTCCCCCTTGATATTGATGCCACCTTAAGAAATGGAAAAGAATTTAATTCTTGAACAAGCCATATTCAGAAGCAGTGGTATATTCTCCACAGACTAGCTTAGAGACTCCCACTAAAATAATAATCTGCATCTCCTTCCAGAACCCCCTTCTTCATGTGGAGGAGGAGAAGTCAGCTCCTAATTTGGACATTTTCACTGGTGCCAGTGTAGTTCTCTTGCACTTTGGGAGAATGTTAACTAAACTGTGTTTTGGATCCTGAAAGGTGTAACTATTTGCCTCTGTATGCAGGAGAGATGCAGTGGTGGCTGCCCAAAACTTCACATGTGTTGGTTGTGGAACCCCAATAGAAAGCAGTAAGTATTACCAAAAGGGAAAAAACCTAAAAAATCCATTACTAGTAATCAGGCTATAGTCTTCACCAACATGTATACACCACAATTGTAAAATCATCTGAGTTAGAAGGAAAATCTTGGATGTGCCTGCAATAATAAAACAGGCAGTGGGATCTTACCACTGCCTGGAATTTCTCACTGTGGACAGAATTAGAATACTTGATAGATGTCGTTCTCATACACAGTAAAAATTCATGACAGTCAATAACAAAACAGGAAAAGCTATTAAAAAATCAAGCTTGGAGGCTGCAAAGTGCTCTTTTTACATCTTGCAATGGTTTTTTTTTCAATAATTCTTTCTCTGTGCCAATTTACACATTTCCAACAGTCTTTTTTTCAGAGGCTTTATGCAAGCTTACAGAATGTGTGGTTTTGCTCTTTTGGGCTGTCTTTTTTTAAACTTTTTTTCCTTTAAATCTTGATCACAGAATCCTGCTTCTGTTTTATTCGTGATACTTTGTGAGAACTGCTTGAAAGCATGATGATTTACAGGTCTGACAACCAGACTTCACCGAAGAAATCTTTGAAGTGGCTTTCAAGACTTGTTCTGGGTCTGCTCACAAGAGAGCAGCATTTGTGATGGCCTGTAAAGTGTCAACAGTCTGTGATGGCACATTAACTCAAGCAAACCTGAGATGCTGAGATAGCTAGGAAAAACCCACAAACCTCTTTAAATGAAAGAGTTTTATTCAAATGTGACTCCAAGATCAGCATGTCTTTCCATTTGGTGGAAGTCTCTTGTGTGTTTTATCTTGTGTGTCTCCCTTTTGTGGGTAAAGCAACAATGGTTTCTCTAAGATCTCATGGTGGTAAATATAATCAGTTCAGATTGACAAATGTGGAAATGAGGAAAGCTTTCTCTTCTAATGCACACAGACCTTGTGCATATGTTCACCACAATAATAAAACCAGCTATTTTAAAAAAAAAAAAAATCCCCTTGCCCTTCACTCCAGTAGATCTGAGTTATTTAGACAGAATAGGCATACAGACAAGAGATACATCCCATAAATATTCACAATTTAATTGCTATCTACCTGTAGAATATGTCAGGAGACTCCGCTATTGTGACTACCTGGGGAAATACTTTTGTGACTGCTGCCACAGCTATGCCCAGTCTTCCATTCCTGCACGAATACTGATGAAGTGGGACTTCAAAAAATACTATGTATGCAACTTCTCCAAACACCTTCTGGACAGCATATGGCAGCACCCGGTTTTCAATGTGTCGTGTATTAACAAAGCCCTCTACACAAAAAGTAAAGAAATGGACAGGGTGAGGGTAAGTGTGGTGGTGTTTTTTATTGGGAATTTGTAGGTCTGAGACTTTTGGGAAGAGCTCCTTAGGGCAGGTTGTCCTTTGTCATGTGTGTATGCGGGAAGGAAGCACAGTTGGTTGCTCCGCACTTAAACTTGTCCCATCACCACTTCTGGGACTTGCCCTCTCTCCCCTCAGATGAAGGGGGAGGAGGGAGAAGTTTGCAACCTATGCCAGAGGGCTCATTTCCCCCTTTGTCTTTGGGAGGTGGTTCCTTATTGGTTTGCAGTTTTAGTTCATGGCGGGGAGCTGGGCTCCTGCAGTAAATATTTACTTCTGCTTGGCAATTAGCTGTTGGAAAGCTCCGGAAGTTTTGAATGAATTCTTAATTTTGTGGGCCATTAGAGAAAACACCCTTGCTTATATAAGGGCTGTACCTCCTACAGCTTGAGGAAGGGTGCTCTGCCAAAGATTTCAAGTTGCCATGCGCTGCCTTCTTGGCTGAGGAGACACTTACCTGTTCTTACACAGGTTTGGGTCTGGCATCTTGACATGCTGACATGGAGCCATTTGTAGTATTAGGAATTGCTTCCCTTGTCAGTGAATAAAAGTAGCCTTTGCCTTTCTTGGCCTTTGGTGCATTAGAAAATCCATTTGTTAATTCTGTGCTGAGTGTGAAATTCCTATTTTTAGGTGTGGCTTGATGTACTGACAAGGGTTGCTGACTCAAATAGTGGTGTTCCTCACTTATGAATATATAAATGCAATTGCTTTTCATTTAAAAATTGTTTTGTTTTTGCCCTTTATCTTTTAGGAGGCACAAGAACAGCTTTTTCATTTAAAAAAGCTTTTGAAAACCTGCAGGCTTGGGGAAAGGTATGGGCCATGATCGTGCATGAAAAATAGCTTATTAAAATGTACCTAAGGTGCTTATAGAACCTTCTTCTCTAGAGACATTTGAGTGCAGTTTTAAATGAGTTAATGTGATCATTAGAGAAAATTCTGATAACAAAACTTCCTTCTGTTGCACTGCAAATGTTGAGTGAAGAACAGATTTTATGTGGTAGCTTTCTGTTTCTTGTAACATACTTAAACATTGGGTTTTAAATGTTGAATGACTTGTTAGGTGTATATTTTTTCCTACTCTGTCTCTCTTAGGTTCTCACTCATTCTTAAAAGGTCAAAGATACTTATGTATTTCTCTGAGATTACTTGTCTTAAAAAAAAAAAAAAATTTAAACCCTCAAGGAACACTTTTTTTTTTTAAGATTTTTTCCAGAGATCTGTCATAGCTCTCAATTCAGTTTAGTTTATAAACATTCAGATGAAAGTAGTAACCAACAGTGATGAATACCAAAACATGACTTTGCTTGTTGCTGCAAATGAAAGCTTTTTGGTATTACCTTCCCAAACTATGGGCCTAACTAATAGATAGACATGTGAATGATAAACCCTTCACTGCAGAATTGCTGACCTTTTTAAAAACAGACAGAAGCAAAAATAAGCTTTAAAAGTAGGTTCTGTTCTCTCTTTGATATGGACCTCTTTTATGCCTCAATTATGTGTTGTTCACCAAAATTAAATAGAAACTTATTTAATGTCTCTCTTCTGGACGACCACCTGTGATTCCATTCTAGAAATAAGCATTAGGATCCTCACTGTACCTTCTGCATTGGTGATATTTTAAAAGTAATAGCTGTATTTTCAGTGATCACCCGCTTGGTACAAGCATAGTTTCACCCAGTAGTGATCTATGCAGGATAAAAACCCTCAAAGTTCTCTTTGCAAAAAAAAGTAAATAACCCTAACTTACTGCATTGGATACTATATGGGATTTTACCTACTGTTCCTGAGGTAGGAGAGAGCCCTTTACACATTAGTTAAGAATTGCTGGGATAACTGCACATGGCAACTCCAGTGCCCGAGGAATGCAAATTTAAAGCAGACACTTTATTCTAAATCCCAAACCCTCCAGTTTTTGTTAATATGATCTCAGATTGGGCGGGGAGGTAGGATTGAGCATGAACTTGCCTTGTATGGTCCCTGGGTGACTAGAGAAGTGAAAGAGGCTTATTCTTCAAATATACTTGAAAAACAACTTTTTGTAACCTGATTTGGTTTCTCTTTCTCTTTGCAGTGTACTGAAAGAATTTGAACAGGTCCCCAGCCATCTGACAGAGGAGCTGCATCTCTTCTCACTGGATGATCTGGTGAAGATCAAACGAGGGCATTTACTGCCCCTTCTCAAAGATATTCTGAAGAGCTCCACCTCCCATGTGGATAGTTGCGAGGTAAGGAAAAGCCAGGGCTCTTGGTGTCCTTGCAGCTGCTGGTGTGAGGAATATCCCTCCTGACGTTCCCAAATAATTTTTTCTTATATTAAAAGTAAATCAACTATTTTGCTGTCCTTGTAGCTCTGTCAAGCGAAGGGGTTTATCTGTGAATTCTGTCAGAGCGCAGATCTACTCTTTCCGTATCAGATTGCCAAATGCAAAAGGTGCACAGGTATGTTCCAGACCAAACATTTTTCTTTCTCCCTTGGGGTGATGTTGGTTCGAAAACTGTTCAGACTTATTTTAGGAATACAGTGAGAACTTGCTTCACTGAAAGCATATGTATTTGAAAACATGCATGTGTATTTGAAAACCGTGGACAGCATATATCTTTGAAAATCAGCCTGCGGCGGCTGTCTTGCATCAGTGAGTTCAGAGAGCAAAAACAGGGACCTGGCTGAACATAATTTTGGCTGCAGGGGGAGGCTATTTTTTGGGTCTACGCATGAGAGAGAGCCTGGGACAGTGGTATGCTGCTGCTATATCAGATTTTGCCGACGTTCATTATAAATCCTGCAAATCTCACCAAAATGTTTAGTCATAGTTATTACAGTAGTGGTTGTTGTCCCAGCCTCACACTGCTTCTGTTTACTTTTATACTTGGGTGAACTAGATAGAACATCCTTCAAGGAACACACCTACTGATTCATTTTTAAATTTGTTTTTTTTTTTTTTTTTCCTGAATGTTAAACTGCTTGTATGTATAAACAGAGTGCAAAACATGCTTTCACAAAGCATGCTTCAAGTCTGGAGGCTGCCCCAAATGTCTGCGGATCGCAGCGCGGAGGACGCTTTCAGAAACTCCGTCACTGGTGTCTCCATGAAACTGGATTCCTCTGACTGCTGATTTCAGAAGATGGTCAAAGCCAAATCTTCAGGTGCCTGACTAAGAATTAAATAATGTTGTTTTAGACATTACTATTTTTAATGTGCGTCTCCTTTATGGGGGGGGTTACAAAAAAAAAAAAAAAAAAAAAAAGAAAAGGCGGGGGGGAAGAGAAGACTTTGATATCATCATTGAAAACTCACCCTGAATGAGTTTCATCTTAAGTGGTGACAGAAAGACTGGATGTTAATTTGGATGTTAATTTTGTGAGCAATGTTCTGTTGCTATGTTTTGTCCTTGTATGTAAGATTTTTAATATTATATTTTTCCATATAAAAATTGTTATTCTCTGTAATTCTGCAAATAATGTATAGATAGTAAATAAGCATTGGAAAGCCTTACCTGTGTCGGATTTTGGAAATAGGAAAAAGGGGTAAAGTACAAAATCACTCTCTCAAAAGCTCTACAATAGAAAAAGCTTATCTGCAAGCTTGCAGACAGGTGCTAATCTGAAATTCTATTCTGGCAAATGCTTAATGTGAACCCGTGGGTTTTAAGTTTCTTTTAAACAGATGTGTGGGTTGAACCTTGGCCTGCTCCTAGATGCCCACCCAGCTGCCTTCTCACTTCCCCTCCTCAACAGGGCAGGGGGAGAAAATAAGAAGGAAGAGCTCATAGGTTGAGATAAAGACAGGGAGATCACTTACTGTCTACTGTCACGGGCAAAAGAGACTCAAATTGAAGAAAATTAAATTTATTGCCAATTAGAAATTGAGTAGGGGGGTGAAAAACAAAGACAAAACCTAAAACAACAGCTTCCCCCTACCTTGCCAACCCTTTTTCCCAGGCTCAACTTCACTTCTTCATTCCTAACTCTACCTTCTCCCCTGCCCCAAGTGGTACAGGGGGATCAGGAATGGGCGTTGCACTCAGTCCAGAACAGTTCCTCTCTGCTGCTCCTTCTTCCTCACGCTGTTCCCCTGCTCCAGTGTGGGCCCTTCCTATGGGCTGCAGTCCAGGATAAACCTGCTCCTGCACGGGCTCTCCAGGAGACATAGTTCCTTCAGGAAATATCCATGTGCTCCAGTGGCGTCCTTTCCATGGGCTGCAGGGTAATCTCTGCTCTGGTATCTAGAACACTTCTTCCCCCTCCTTCTTCACTGACCTTGGTGTTTGTACTGCTGTTCCCCCACCACCACCTATGTAGTGTTTTACCCTTTCTTAAATACGTTTTCTCGGAGGTACCACCATCTTGGCTGAGGTGCTCAGCTGTGTCCTGCGGTGGGTGCACTGGAGCTGGCTGGAAGCAGCTGTGTCTGGCATGGGGCAGTCCGGGCCTCTTCCCACAGAGGCCACCCTGCAGCCCCCTACTGTCAACACCTTGCCACTTACACCCAGTACACTGCTCTAGAAGTTTCTTTCCAGAGCTCTTAGAAGATGGGAGGAGAGGCAGTGATCAAGCAGGAGAGATGCTGCTGTTTAAATCCACCCTCACGCTTGCAGGCTGAGTCCTTGCTTAAAGGTGAAGTGCTGGAAGTTGAAAGCAGCTTGCTTTCCCAGTGTGATTGGTTACTTCTCATGAAACTGGCTGAGGAAGCAGCCCCTGTCTTCAGAAACCCAGTGCAGCGGCTTGAACCCGTAAAATCATTTTTCTGGTTGTGCCACATATGAAGTACCAATGAACAGAGAAACCCCAGAACTTGAAAGCACCTACCACAGTTCTGATCTCTCCAATGGAGTTCTCTTAATATTTTGAATTTGCTGTTCTCATTTTGTGGTTTGTTCTTCCTCTCCTCACCTGCTAGCTCCAGCTTTTAGCAAGGAAAAGATCAGCTGCCTGTTACCAGGGTCTGTGTAAGTTCACTTCCATGGTAAGGCTCACAGTACTAGTAAGCTCACTAACACTTCCAGTTAGCTATTTTTTTCTGTGGCCAAAACCAGCTTACCTGCTTACTACTCAGAACCAAGATTATCATCTCTTACTCAAGATCACCAAACAGATACTGACGTAGGGTAAGATGTGGTGAGAAAGAGCTTGCTTATGCAGCTGACTATTTAATGTTATGCAAGAGTAAATTCTCATTGAAGTTGGGTGCACAACTAACTGAATCACATGAAAGGCCTTGCTGTAGGGATTTTCTGCTTATGAAGGAGCTCACTTGAATAATCCTTCTGTGGGATAACCTGCAGGGCAACTGAATACATTGTTTTCATTATTCATGAATTTAGAAGAGCTGATCTGTTTTCTGGCTGTGCTTTTCACAAATGTTCAAGTCTCACTGAACAGGAGGGGGAGCGTCAGTGAGTTTCATGCATCAAGTGTTGATACCTTACATCCACTCAGTTCAGTCCAGGTCTCCACAGAGCCTGTACAGCTTATCCTGACTAATTATTGCTACGTACCTCAACATGTATTGCAGCAAGAGAAGATCCTCCATGAGTAGCTGGCAGAAAGTGCAAGACCCGAAGATCAGCATGCCTATAATCCAAGTAAAACTAGTTAAAATGTTCTGCTGCGGAAACTAAAGTAAGAAGGACCACGTTGTGAGGTGCCAACAGGTTGGTCACAAGTTGGAAGGAATGAGAGGCAGCTATTTGCTGCTTTTGAGGGAGTGGTGCTCTTGACTGTTAGGTCTGGAGGAGGTCATACCAAAACCACATTCTTTTGTGCTGGTGTCAGCACAAGATACCACAGGAATATGCTGAGGCCATTCACCTGAACCTCTTCTCTGATGAGAAGCAAGGTATGGGTGACTAGAGCTGTAGCCACAAGGTGTTCTCAGTGTTGCTGAGGTGAGAGTTTCTTCTTCTCAGCTAGCAACCACGATAAAACTGAAAGTGTGCACTGTATTTTTCTGTCTTTGGTGATAAAGTCGCTTGGACAAGAAGGGATGACTTCTATGCTACAAACCCTCTAGGTGTCTTTAGGGTGTAGCTGTGTCCTTTGAATCAAGTTTTGAGACTCAGTAAGCTTCTCAGATCAATATTGTGCTCTTCCTGAGGATATCTCTATGGGTAAGTTCTGAGTTTTATCATTTCTGAGGCTAAAACAGATGATAAGGCAGATCCAAGATAAGAACTTTTTAAGGAACAAAAGCTATATGGCTACAGTGAACTTCTTTGCAGGAAGTCAAATCCTACATGTGGAAGCTCTGAATTCTTTGAGAGGAGAAGACATAGAAAGGTTAGGCTGTCTTACCAAGGAGTTGGGCCAGTTCAAAATAAGCTGCCTGCTAGCTAGAAAGCTGAACATGTTTCAGAGGACAGTGACAAGAGACATGACTCTTCAGCTAGGG